ATATATGTATATATATATATATATTTATATATATATGTATATATATATATATACATACATATATATATACATAAATACATATATACATACATATATACATATATATTAGTCAAATATTGATTCTGGATATGACCGATCGAACCGGACCTTCAACCCAGTTCGGTTCACTAATTGGATTGTTTGATACCGTTAATTCTTTAATTTATCAATAAAAATATTTAAGTCTTTTAATTTTAAGAATAAAAGTGAAGAAAACTCTATTTATGTTTTGTTACACTTTCATCCCCTTCAACGTGTCTATGCGGTCCAAAAAAAACAAAAGTAATATTTATATTTCTATAAATCGGAGGAGATCTAACAGAAGAGTTATCTGTACGACCAGTTGTACATGAATCTAGTGGATCTCATCATTCTCATGCGGAACTCCCTCCCACACACACACACACACAACACGCACACACATTAAATGGAAGTCCCACACCAACCTTCTTCCCCACTCCTCCGGAGCAGCAGATCCACAGATTCGGCGCCAACGAGATACCCCCAACCTCCCCTTTTCTAACGCTTATCCAACAACATCCACTGGAGGCACAAAATCTTGGCAAACTAGCTCGCAATCTGAGATGGGAATATTGGATGCCAGTCCCACCTTCCAAATCCTCCCTACTCCGACGATTACGCCCACACCACCATTAAAGTACATGATCCGTGGCCAACTTGTGCAAGTTGCTTCCCCATGGCCTGCCTTGCCACAGCTCGGCAACCTCATTTCCATATTCCCAGCCTTGAAGGCATGGCCATTTCTTATATCAGAAAGACTTGCTGCTCCCCAACTACTACTGCTGCCGCTTCTTCGTGGCTGTGCCAGTGCTCCCCTCTTAGCTGTTGCAGGCACCCGTCATGGAGATGTCTCTCTCGGGCCCATTAATTCATCACATAAGTGCCTGCCTCCACATTCCTTATTCTGACGAACACGTACACAACATGAGCTTTCCGAGGACACGTGGAGCATCGACCGGGAGAGTCCAAGATACGCCGCCGTACCGTGTCCCCACTTGGTCAAGAATTATCCGACGGCCAGATTTCTTCCTGATCTTATCTGACGGCTCCAGAGTAGCCTTCGTCCTCGCGTTGACTGAAACCCAGGACATCGACAGGCGCGAATTGTCGGCGTTCACAACGAGGCTTGGCGCCACGTAAGACAGCGAGAGATCTGATCCCAAGTCAACTGGGATCCTCCAACTGTTGCAATGTAGAAAGATCTGCGCAGCTCTTTTCTCCGGATATCGGTTGCTTTCCTAATGATTCTTGCGAAAACCTCAGAATATGCGAGTGACGATGATCCAAGGGATCAAACAGCAAAGTGGGAGAGAACCCGACCGAACCATTAAAATAGAAGCCACGAAGAAATCCAGTCAAACCCTCGCCAAACATGCTCGCCGATTGTTTATTGACTACCAATCTAGAGATATCAGTTAGGACAGCCCCCAATCCAAGCTCAGGTGTTGGTGTCTATATAATGGTTGGCGCTTCCCCTCGTTGCTGTTTGCACTGTGCCCGCCCATATGGCTTCTGCCGCTGTCTCCACGCAGAACCCTCCCCCGATCTTGCAGAGAATAAGCTCGTCCTGGTCTCGGCCTGGGATGTCCGGCGTCGCCCCACCGAGGCTGCCATCGGCCGCCCCCACGCTTCGGTCGCGGCCGGCCAGGTTGCCGGAGGTGAAAGGTTGCCTTGCCGGCATGTGGAGGAAGATTCAGGGCGCCGACGACTGGAGCGACCTGGTGGAGCCGCTGCACCCGCTCCTGCGCGAGGAGGTGGTGCGGTACGGGGAGCTGGTGGCGGCTTGCTACAAGGCGTTCGACCTCGACCCGAGGTCGAAGAGGTACCTCAACTGCAAGTACGGGAGGAGCCGCCTGCTGCAGGAGGTCGGGTTGGCCTCCTGCGGCTACGAGATCACCAAGTACATCTACGCGACGCCGGACATCATCATCCCCACGCAGAGCGGCGCGTGCTGCGGCCGGTGGATCGGGTACGTGGCGGTGTCGTCGGACGAGGAGGCGAAGAGGCTCGGGCGGCGGGACGTACTGGTGAGCTTCCGGGGTACCGTGACCGGCGCCGAGTGGATCGCAAACCTGATGAGCTCGCTGACGCCGGCCAACCTCGACCCTCACGATCCCCGACGAGACGTCAAGGTCGAATCCGGCTTCCTCAGCCTCTACACCTCCGACGACAGCACCTGTAGGTTCAGCCAAGGTAGCTGCCGGGAGCAGTTGCTCAGCGAAGTGGCTCGGCTCATCAACAAGCACAAGGAGGAGGAGGAGGAGATGAGCATCACATTGGCCGGACACAGCATGGGGAGCGCCCTCGCCCTCCTCTTCGGCTACGACCTGGCTGAGCTCGGCCTGAACCGATTCCGGCTGCAGCGAGAGGTTCCGATCACGGTGTACTCCTTCGGAGGGCCGAGGGTCGGCAACACCGGCTTCAAGGCGAGGTGCGAGGAGCTCGGGGTGAAGGTGCTGCGGGTGGTGAACGTCCATGATCCGGTCACCAAGCTGCCCGGGCTGTTCTTGAACGAGAACCTGAGGGCCTTGGCGGCGGGCTGCGACCTGCCATGGAGCTGCTCGTGTTACGCTCATGTGGGAGTCGAGCTCGCCCTCGACTTCTTCGAGGTGCAGAACCCTGCGTGCGTTCATGACTTGGAGACCTACATAGGGTTACTGAAACGCTCCAAGCTGGTGCAAATCCACAAGGAGGGGGAGGATCTGCTGGCCAAGGCAAGGACGTTCGTCGGCAGGAAGAAGCCTCAGCCATGGCCATGGCAAGATGTGGCAAGGCAAGTGGGTCATTTGGTGCAATCTCTGAGTCTGATCTGAGATCAAGGGCTACATCAGTCCCCCCATTATTTTTGTGTTCAGAGGAGGGTTATTATCTGCAGCATATTTGCAGGCAATTATTTTTTGTAATCGACATCTCTAGACACACACTGTACATCATCAAACTTGTAATCTCTATGATCATGTGACAAGCTACTCGATGTAGGAAGATAATTCTTTTTGAGTTGTCTCGAAGCTTTAGAATTATAGTTTGCTTGTGTTGGTTGTATATAGTATTCCATGTAATAATGATCTTAAATAAACAGGTTTTATCGCATGTGAGAATAATTTGGCCATTTGAGAACAAGAGTTATGACTTTTGTACTTCAAGTATACTCTTCCGATATCAACAAACATAATGACACCTTTATCTGTTATTGATGTGAATAATGAGTTTCTTCCCATTGTCACATTATATAGGGTGAAGGAAAGGAGGATTCTTTAGACATTAACATTCGAGACACTCTGTTTCGTACCACACATCCTTGACGGTGAAAGATATTTAGCAAACAATCCCTGTTGAAATTGCTGTGGTTCTTCTCGAGGAAAGTAAGTCCATTTTTAGCTTTCGTTTCAACTGGTTAAATGAATGCTGTTGTATATGTTCTTCACCAACATCTTAAGTTGTGTTCTTAGTTCATTGGTTTGGGGAATGCTGCTTCTTCTACAGTACATATTACGTGACCTTGGAAAGGTGAGCTTCAGTAATATCATGATATGATGATGTTGTCACAGTAGCTTCTATCTAGAATCCATAACCGATCAAATCACTATTAGGTAATCAATATATATATATATATATACACACACACACACACAAATAACTAATATATAGAAGAATAAGAAGCTAAATAACATGAAAGTTGTTCTTTGACGTGGACCAGTGTCTATCACAAAGTAAGTAGATTTGGAGATAAGATCTCTCAGAGTTCGATCCATGGAACGTAGCAGTGTCTATCTCTTTGTTCATGGAAGCAGCAGATTTGCATGTAGCGCAGGGAGATTTGAGCCATGACATGTTCTTCACCCTTTTCATGCATGTGTCTAGCGTGCTTCCTTTTTCTTCCTTCTCCCCTTCTTCCTCCTCCTTTTTGTCCGAAGATGGAAATCTCTCTGTCACCTTGCTCTCAAGAAAACATTCAATGAATGGGTACCTGATTCTCTCAGCAGATTAGGCTGCAGCAGCAGCATCAGAATCCGAGATGACAGAAGCAGACGCAGCTGATGATTCATTAGGCTACTGCCACATCACACACCCACAGATCATCAGTCTATATCCATCCACATATCACCAATTGCTATTTGATTCTTGTAAACTACTTCAAGCTCAGCTTTTCAGCCCTTTCTGACATAAGCCATATGCAGATCATGTTGCTGACACTCCCTTCCTTCTTTCCCCTGATAGTTATAGTTGAGCATCATTCTTTTTCTTTCTTGCAGATAACCTAATCACTGAAACATCCATCCATGAAGCTTCATTCTCCGCAGCGAAAATATTGTTCCAACTCATCTGATAATGATGGCAGAGACGGACTGGGGTGAGATGATGACATAACAAGTGGGACTTCCACTTCCACTATGTTGAGAGGACCGCAACATGATGATCTCAGATTGTGGTAGGAGAAGCAAGCCAAGCCGCACTGCATATATTCCATACACACCACAACCTAACGTGCACATCAGCTTGTTGGAAACAATAAACTTTGATTAGGAATCTAATCACAAGTTTTCTTTAATTAATTAACAATTGATCAAGAATTTTGTGGGACTGAGAGGAAGTATTAAGAAGAGATGAAAGTGAAAGTGATACATAAACATATTTAGTTTTCATATTCTTTTAATGCTCCCTATTATTTCTTACTTTCTTTCCTACCACCATAAAAGCAACGCAGCTTCAACCAAAACTGTATCCCACTTAATTTTGTTAACCAAAAGGCAGTGTTACTCTCAAATATAAATCAAATACTCATGGAATTTTCTTCAAGAATGTAAGACTTACTATTATCTTTTCTAATAATTGTAATGCATACAATGAATTTTCTCGAGTAACTTCAAAGAGATTAAAATGACTATTCCATCGCACCTCAGGAATCAATAAGTATTAGCAGGTCACAACGGAAATCACAAGAAGCTGTATACTACCAGAACAAGTGAAGAGTTAAAACATGGTAAAAGGAAGAAAAGAAACAGGAGATGATAACAAAAGGCCTGTACATCTTTCTATTAAGGGAGGCAAGGGGAAAATGCCACATTACCCTTGGGGAAAAGGTAAAGAGATTTGGACAAAGAAAGTAAAGAGAAATGCTGATGCAAATCTACATGCTCAGTGACAGAGAACACTAGCATTGGTATATCGAAAAACTCTTGTTCTTCCATATCAAACTTAATGTCCGCCCAAATTTCTTTGATTTTGATTTATGAATCGTCTTGGACTCCATGGTCACCTGATGACCACCGTCACTCTCTACCTGTTGTGGTTGCTGCTTCAGGGGAGAAGGCTCTCGCTGGCGCTGTTCCCTGAACAGCCTCAACAACCTCTCTGCCTTCTCCTTGCCTTTAGTTGTCCCATTCACCGATATCGATACAAGTGACGGTATCACCCCCTCTTGCAGGACCATCTGACTGCATCGCTCGTCACTGCTGCACAGAATTAATAGGCAAGACACAGCCTGATCTTGTTCTGCAGGCTCACCAAAGTCTAAGACCCCCGCAAGACCACAAAAAATACCTGGGGTCAACACGATTTCTTTCCTTCCTGCCTGGCTTGATGCTAAGTTTATCAAGACGGCAAGGGCCTTCTCGGTCCACATTATGCCTTCAGTCGCAGAAGGTGATCCAAGGAGAGGATGGAGACTGTTAATGATACCTGATGATACAAGGAAAGGGATGTTGGGCGGATGTGTGGAAAGGTTGTACAGGGTGTAGAGAGCATCGTACTTGCAGGAACTACCCTCGTTGTTGACAGCTTGTAGAACCTGGATCAGGAAAGGAACAGCTTTGCTTAAGCCAATAAGAGGCTTGGCCTCATTGAGACAGGAGAGGTTCAGGTAGAGGGCTGCTACACATTCGAACATTTCTGAAATTGAGATCATCTGTTCCAGCAATGGTAACAGTCCAGCAGCTATGAGCATTTCCTTGTTCCTAATACGATATGATATACTTTAAGTGCTTTACAATGATGAAGAGCCAAAATAGATGATCACAATGCATGAGTGGCATATTTGCAGTAACTGAGGTGACCGACCACCAAATAAAAGATCAGCTATTACACCAATAGTGAATCTCAAATGCAAACTAACATGTTTTTATAAAAAAATCCCAAATGCAAAGACCGCTAACTGCAAATGCCATCAATTATGGACACTAGAAGAAGGCAACCTAGCACAATTTCATGAATAAGTAGATGAATATAATAAAATAAAGTTTAGTACCTATTGTTGTTAACTGCAAGGTTGAAAAGGGCCATGGCACCAGCTTTTTGAGCCTTCCCATCACCACTGAAGAGAGCCATCCTTAAAAACTGAATAAGTGCCTCCACAAGCCCATTAGCTCCCAGAAAGATCCTTGCTTCTTCATCCTCTTTCAGCAGATACCTTATCTGCTCTACTACTCTACATTGTTTATGTGCACTTTTAACCTCATGGAGTGCTGACAGCAAGCTTCGATATCTTTCAAACTCATCTACTACATGTTCATTGTAGTAGTTACTTAAAGTTTCAACATCCGTCTCATTGAGCTCCTCATGGTTGTGATTCTCTTCCAAAGGAGCAACCTTAACACATTTCAATTTGCAAGAGTTTGTACAACCAAAGGAACTAGAATCCATGGCTTCGCATTGTGAGAAAGCCAACCTCCAATAGTTGGCATCAAGGGACTCTGGTGGGCCGGTTGGAATGGGAAACCCATTCTGTTCGCACCAATTAGCAATCAGCCCTTTAACACAATAATTTGGAGTTAAGCACAGATGGGATAGCTGCTGCTGAGTTTTCGGACATGTACTGTGCCCATCATTAAACCATTTCTCAATGCAGAAACGTTCATAGGTCTGTCCAGATGAAATAATGACAGGATCAAACATGAGCTGCAAGGAGATGGGGCATATGAATTCTTCAGGAGGGATTGGCATATTCCCTGATTTTCTTCCATTTTGTTTGAAATTGAGAGAGCGTAGCTTAGATAGTTGTCTCTCAAACGTGTGACTGTTCCTATGTGGACTGGACACCTCTTCAAACCCTAGAATGGAAGAAGAGCGTGGAGTTGATCCCTGAGAATCAGTATCATCTGTGTACTCACTTCTGAAAAGCTTCGAATACTTTCTCATGAGATGATATAAGTAAGATACTATTGATTCCTTCCGTTTGTCATCCTGAGCACGAGCTCTTTCCATAAGTTTTTTGAGAGCTCTTCTTTCAGTCAGTGCTGCTCGGGAAGAAGTAATCCCCAGCCTTAGTGCAGCTTGGTGGAAAACTTCAAGCTCATCACTATCGCTCAAGTTATTATTAAATTTACTGTCTTTCTGAAGCAATGAGATTACTTCATCACCTGCCTGCTTCTCCAACTGATCCATTTCAAACACGATGTCCTCCATCACACCAACAATTTCAATAATCTGGTATGAGAAGAAAGAATACAATCGTTTAGCAAAACTAACTATAGTTGAGCAGAAAAAAGACAAATGTGTAATTTTAGCACTTCTAGTTTTACATGTTTGGACCTCCCAAATGTTAACCTCTCATTCAAAATAAATGGGTGTTCTGATACTAAACCAGTGATATCATTATGTGTTTAATGGTCTATTATAGGTAAATAGTCATGTAACAAGTAAAAGGTCATGATATCAGTGAAAGGATCAATTAAATACTTTGACCAAATTTGCTATTGCCTGAAATGCTTATGGATATAAACATGTAATCCTTTTGTTACAAGCAGATACAAGTCAACTGGAAAACCCCAATGTTCACCAGAAATATACATGTAATTGAAGTTCAGAAAACAGAATTAAAGGGATAGAAATAGAAGAACATTGAGTATTAAAAGAAAAACAAAAAAAGATATTTCAGGTGGTAATCATAGAGGGTGGAATGCTGCCTATAATAAAGCAGCTGATAATTATTAAAATATAATAAGGTAATAGAGGTGGTCTCAAGTTTTTAACTGAAAGTGGCCAGGTTTACAAACTGCCTCAACAAACTTGACTCTTTTAGAACTTCTGGTGCAAACTGCTATATAAAGAGTCATAAAAGATCAATCCAATTTCAGCGGCTTCCCTCTTTGGACAAAACTAAAATCAGGATTCTTTTATAAGTGACTCACGGCCCACTAGACATACAGTCTCTGAGTCAGACTGCAACCAAGTGAAGATTCTAAAGTCTAAACAATTACTTTGTTGGCCCTCACATGTAAACAACACATAGAAAGATATAAGCAATTTTAAGTATATAGATATTTTGATATAATTACATAACAATATTTTAACAATGAGATTGGCATAGCAAAGATGTGCAAGTAACTTTAAATGCATAATTGCATACCTGACAACTAATATGTTCTGGAACTATTTCTTCAACACGTCTAAGACTTTCTTGAAGTGCACATTTTGCCTTTCCAAACTTTATTAGAATCGAGTCTCCAGTTATTGCCTAAAGGTATAACACATACATTTTATAAATAATTTGTAACATAAAACATGTCACTGAAAAGTATATAGCATATCAAACTAATCTATGTTTAGATGGATAAAACGTACTAGTAACTATAGTGCTCCAGTCTATGCAAAGTACGCATCCACAAAATTTTATGCAAAGAATGCAAATCAGTTTCCATTTCCTTAAAAGCAGCTCTCTGGCAATAAGGCTAAATTTGAAGCAACTATTAGCAGAGAATGAACCAGGAAGAAGGAAGAGAAAAGAAAATTCGGTAATTAAAGCGAACTGAGGAGCATCTTGTAAAGTTCCAGAGCTCCAAATGTGTACAGATCGTTAAGTATGAAATTGAATAATCTCCGATTGTTAAAATAGCAATGATCTATTTAGTAAATTAAGGCTGTCAGAGCGTCTTGTGAAAACTGCTTCAATGATGACTACAAAAAAAATCAGGAATAAGTCAAAATGTTCATTACATTATTTGCCCATAGTCTACAGAAAAAGGTAGTAAAAATTGTACAAAACAAGAGATGTTCATGTCAATTCCATTTTGTCAAGGCCAAAAATGCAAAAAATAAAACCCACCAAGTAAAGCTTGCTACATTCTGAGCAATGCTGAAGTAGGCTTTTGGCTTTGTCAAGAGCAACGTGCAATGAGCATAGCGCCTGTATGCCAGACTTACTTCTGGGTCTTGCTGCTTCTATGAATGGAAAGATCTCCAACACCTTACCAACAAATGTATGTAGGACTCTAAACATTCCTCCATGGACCTGCTTATACACAGAAGAGGTCAATTAGTACTATACTCCGATAATCATGGGAAGAGAACAATTATGCAGATCACATCATTCGCAAAGCTATAATCATTTATGAGATATTAAATTCAATCACCAAGTTGATGTTGAGACATTCTTCAATTTCTTCACAGAAAGTTAATGAAATGCGGCCTAAATGAGTAACTCATCAATATTGCTTCGAAGATACTCTTGGTGGCACAGAGAACAATCATTACAAAAATGAAATAACTTCACTGAAATGTCTCGTCAGGGTGACATTGCAATAGAAATAATGAAACTTCTATTTCAAGAAACAGTAAAAAGAAATGTTTTTCGATCATGAGGAGGGTGGTTCTGTAGAACAACAACAAACAAGGAAAAATCAAGCAATCATGTTACAAACGTTTTCTCCGTTTCGTTTAAACTGATTCCAAAATCAAATCGCTTGAAAGCATTAATACCTTTGCATCACCAGCAATGAATAGATTCCCCTCAACCTCAGCCGCATCCATTATTTTCCCCCAACAGAGCTGAATCAAGTGACACGGAAATGAAAAAGTAACAGTAAGGATAACGATAAGCAAAACCAACAAAGCTCTGATGAACAAACAGCCCCCTCAAACACCATCCTCTTCCAAGAGAGAAAACAAAAGCCTTTCGTTCTTGTACAAAGAAGACAGATCCAGATCCAAACACAAAAAGAGCTTCTTCTTTTTTTTCAGTGGAAAAAACCCGCCAGACCACGAGGTCCCGCGTCTTCAATCCTTGAGAACCAAATAAATCACAAGGGAAACATCCATACTCGGAAACCCTCAAAGTTACAGGGGTCTCGCCAGCTTGTCGATTCAAGACTTACCGAAAGAACAGAGGCGAAACCAATCCAGAGCGCCGGAAGAGCCGAGTCAGATGAAAGGAGGCATGACGCGAGGAGAAGATAGAGATCTCATAATCCTCAACCTCGGTTATCAGGGATAGGGATTTCAGCATTCGAGGCACGAATAACGTAAAAAAGAAAGAAAAAAAAAAAAGGGCGCTCCTTGCGAGGCGGCAGGGGAGCAAGAGCGGAAGGAGTGAGAAGAAAGCGAGAGAGATTCCATCCACTATTCCTCTCTCTCTTCTATATATAAATGCTAAACAATTAGTAGAATACATAATTGAAGATTAAACAACTAAATTAAATTTCTCCCGTTTAAAACTTACCATACCTTTCGTTTCTATTAGATGCTTGGTGGGAACAACACCCATAGTTTCCAATAAAAAAGAAGGTAGATTCGACGATCAATGCGCATAAGAGTACAAAAACTAATTGTTTTTGTAACGAGGGATATCTTGAAGAATACGTGGCTTCATCCACTCCGTCGATTGGGAGGCAAGTACGATCCTTGCCTGTCATCGCGTCGACTCGACATCCGCCAGCTGATTGGTTAGGCATCCGCTGATCGGACGGTTGCCATCGGCTCGCTCGGCTCATTTCAAATATCGAACCGTTGGTTGAGTTCAATCATTCATTGCCGCTCTATCTCCCCGTACTGCGCGGCTTGCCGACCTCCTTGTCGTTTCGAAGAGACATAAATACCCCTGTATGTCGCTTTAATAGCACAGTCGCCGAGTAGCATGACCGACAATTTTCGCTAAACAGTATGGATATTTACGAGATACTGCTCCTGTGTCACCACCCATCGGTACGGAGCCCCGGAGATTGCGCTGTCGGCTATGATCAGTTACTCCGAACTGTTTGATCTGACGCGTGGCGACCTCTGCGTCGCCCGTTTTGGCGGGGAACAATTTCTTTCGTCTTCGGGGTCGCGTGGAATTCGGTGCACATGCGATGAGTCGTGACGGACGGACGATAGACCATCCCTTCCGGTAACTCGCCGTCCCACCTGCATTTCCATTGACCGAAGTGCTGGGACCCGCGAGACCTTGCTCGCTGTCCGAGTCACCGACCAACGGGTTGGCCGGCGCGGGTACAGGTGACTGCTGCTGATTCGGACGGGAGGTGATGGGTCGGCAAATACGGCGGGGCCCGCAGCATTCGTCAACAGCCAGACGAGTTACCCGCCCTTTCAAGTGGGTCTGACGCGACCGTCTGGGCTCATTCCAATCACAAGGCGGGTGGGAGAGCTGGTCAAGGAGTTGGAAAACGAATTATTGGAGGGAAATATATCAGCGTAATCTGGACCGTCCATTGGACAGCGGGCCCACTCATCATGGATACGTACTTGTGTCCTCGACGGTAGCCAAAACCTAAAAGGTCTTCTTTGTTTGCGGTTGCAGGAAGATTAAGTAGGCGTTTCCACCCCATAATTAATCAAGTTTCATTATTTGGTTCCTTTTTGATTTGGTGAAGTGTTAGGGAAGATGCCATGTCTATTTCTAAAGCCAATTGCAAGAATGATTACTTTTTAAGGTTTTCAATTTTAATAATAACATACTCATTTTCAACTTAAAAATGGCATGACGTGACTTGGTAACAAAGATACTTAAATCATAATATTCTTTGATTTTGCTCGGATCCTGATTTAGAATAACGTCTTTTTCAATCTATTGAACAAAAACATTCTTTTTTTGTCTAAATCAGAGTAAACAGACTTGTATATGATGTCAACTATCCAAAATTACTAGCATAAATACATGGCTTGATCTGCATTTGTATTATGTTTTTCATACAATTTGATATGGAAAGGATCAATATGCATAATTTTATTCATATATATATATATATATATATATATATATATATATATATATATATATATATATATATATATATATATATATATATATATATATATATATATATATATATATATATATATATATATATATAT